AAAAAAAAAAAAAAATAGAAGACCTAGTCAAGAGATAGACAAATGAACAGACACTTCTCAGAAGAAACACAAATGGCCAATAAATACATGTAAGAATGTTCAATTTCACTGGCCACTAGAAAAACGTAAACTCAAACAACACTGAGATGCCATCTTACTCCAGAAAGAATGGCAATCATCAAGAAATCAAATAATAACAAATGCTGGTATGGCTATGGTGGAAAAGGAATGTTGTTACATTGTTGGCGGGAATGTAAATTAGTGCAACCATTCGGAAAATAGGTATGGAAATTTCACAAAAAACTAAAAATTCTGTTCCACTCAACCCAGCTAGTCCCCTTCTAGATATCTTTCCAAAATAATTAAACACATCATATTACAGTAATACATCCATACCCATGTTCATAGCAGCACAATTCATAACAGCTAAATCTTTTTTTATTTTATGAAAACTAAAACAAAATTTTCTAACAAAATAATACACTGTGTATCATTATCTTCAAAGTAGTTACTTTGAGTATAAGACTTGGACCAAAAGGATTCTTACAAAGAAGAAACAAACAGATAATAACACAAAACTTTCTTTTCAACAAAAAGTCAGACACACATGCTTAAATAATGCATGACTTCTCTTATATGAACAACATAATATATATATATGCACATACAAAGAAGTAAGAGCAAAATTGAAGAAATAAACAGATAAACAGCAAGCAGGGAGAAGTTCAAATACTTCCCCAAATATTTTAATATATGTTAATTTATTTCATTTATATGAATAGCTAAATCTTGGAAGCAGATAAAATGTGCTATTTGTATGTAATGGGATACTACTCAGCTATATTTGTAGGAAAATCGATACATCTTGAAAATACAATGTTAAGTGAAATAAATCAGGCACACAGACTTATATACCATATGGTTTCTCTCATTTGAGTAATCCAAAGTACAAATAAAGAGCAAAATAAAAGATAAAAAAGAAAAAGGGAGATAGATCTTACGCAAATAGGAAGAGGACCAAGAGGAGAAGTAAAGAATTATTAGGGAATAAATAAAAATCAACTGTAAACAAGACCAAACAACTTATTCACATTTTAATTTTCCTCTCAAATTAGAATCAAATATAAAAAATCAATTTCAATTCTATTTAATAGAGATGAGTTCCTCTGCATAAATGGAAGAAAAAATATATTCCTAGTATTGACATAAAAAGAGATTAAGATGTGTTATGTACATCTACCAATTACCCTCAATGAAGGTAATCATATGCTGTAAACGTGAACTAAATAATAACGATAATAATGAAAATGGGGGAAGGTGACCTAGATATGGAGGGAGGGGGGCAGGGAGGGAAAAGGGAATAAAAAACCCAATGTTCATAATTTCTTGAAAAAAAGTTTGAATTATATTCCATTGTGTACAAAAGGCAAAGGGACACAATGAAGAATAAAAGTAGTAAGAATTAACTACCATCTAACATAATTTACCATACTAAAAAGCTGTTATTTCTGAAAATAGTTTTTAATCTAGCACAATAAAGCTCCACAGGAAAAAGAAATCCTGAATTAATAAACAAAAACATGTTAAACATACCCTGTGTCTCTTCCTACTTCCTGTTTTTGATTCCAGAGGTTGTGTTGTGTTCACAGGCCACACTCTTCCAGACTCATCTGTTCTGACAAGGATCACTTCCTGCTGGTCTACATTCTATAAAAAGATTTAGAGATAACTTTTGAAGTAATTTTGAAGAATGTTGAATACTTATATTTAATTACACAAAAAGTATAAGAAAGATTCTAGCTGTCACATCATATTATGGATTATCTTAAATTTTTTGGATTTTCATTATCCACTATACAATAAAGTGACCATAATCTTTTCAGGAAAAGGATAGAGATAATACCCAAAGCTTTTTTAAAAAAATAAAAATACCACTCACAGAAGGAAACTTCAAATAAAGTTTTCATCCAAACACTATTAAAAAAATAACAAAGTACTAATAGTCTACCTGGCAATGTACAACAGCAGCCATCATTTATACAACAGATGTCATGTTTAATGGATGTTTCTCAAAGACTGTATTAAAACTTAATGATATGTTTTTTGGTTTTGGGGGTATTCTTTTGTTTTTTTCTGGTACTGGGGATAGAACTCAGGACCTTGCACTTGCGAGGCAGGTGTGGCACCACTGAGCTAAATCTCTGGCCCTAAAACTTGAGTATAAGAAACAAAGCAACTAAATGACAAAAATACTTGCTAATTTAGCTATTCTCATGATACTAAACACTACCTCCTAACAGTCTTCAAACACTTTTAATTTCTCTCACTCCAAAAAAGCTATATTCCACATACTTTAAAATCATAATCATTCCTTCCTACAAAATTTTAGCCAAATACATGTCTTGCACAACACTGAACAAACGTTGTTCTATGTTGAAAATGAAATATTACTGGTAAGATTCTCATAAAAAATAAGTAGATATTATTAGGAAATAAATAAAAATCAATTATAAATAAAACCAAGCAAATTATTCACATTTCAATTTTCTTTTCAAATTAAAACTAAAGATAAAAAATCAATTTCAATTCCACTTAATAGATTTAGTTTCCCTGTGTAAATAGAAGAAAAAAACAGATTTCTAGTATTGATCGTATAGGAATATACTTTTTTTTTTTACATAATACTAAATGAGTAGTGACGATTATTTATCACTGCTTTGTTTTGTTGTTGTTGTTGTCCTTGTTGTTTTTCCTTGCAGTAGTAAGAATTAAACCCAAGGAATTTACACTGAGCTACATTCCCAGCCCTCTTTTTATTTTTTATTTTCAGATAGGGCCTCAGAGTTGCTAAGTTGTCCAGGCTGGGCTCAAACTTGCAATCCTCCTACCTCAGGCACCCAAAAGTGCTAGGACTACAGGCACCTATCACGACCCCTGGCACTCATCACTACTTTTCTTTTTGAATGTGAATTTATTACTGTTAATTAATGAAATGTTTTATATATTTGGGGGGGTTACCAGGGATCAAACTCAGGACCATGCGCTTGGCAAGGCAGGCACAGTGCCACTGAACCAAATCCCCAACCTGAAATTATATAT